GTGCAGGTACGCGCCCCTGCCGGCCCCGCCTGGTAGGTGCAGGTGTGTGTGAGCGTGTGCGTACGAATGTGAGTGTGCGCGTGTGCACGAGCATGTGTGTGTGCGTGTGTGAGCATGAGTGTGTGCGTGTGTGCATGTGTGTGAGCGTGTGCATGTGAGTGTGTACATGTGTGTGAGCATTTGTGTACGTGCGTGTGAGTGTGCACCTGTGAGAGCCACTGGCTGCATGTGTAGTCACCAACTTTTTTATTTTTATGTTTTTATGCCCCTTTCCCCCCTGTTGACCCCCTCCAGGCCCCGCCCCCAGGCCTTCACCTCCCCACTGTCCGTGTCCAGGGGTGACGCGTGTGCACACAGGTCTTCGGCCGATGACCTCCCACCCACGCGCCCTCCCTGCCTTCCCTCCGAGATTCTGCCCCCTGTTCTGTGCTCACCAATTTTTTAAAATCTGGATCCGAGGATATTTTCCCAGTTGGTTTTTAGGGGACGGAAGAGAGAGAGACAGAGAAACTTCGATGTGAGGGAGACACATCGATTGGTTGCCGTCTGCACGCACCCCAACACGGGGTGGGGATCGAACCCACAACCCAGGCCCGTGCCCTTTAGCGGGAATCGAACCCGGGACCCTTCAGTGCTGAGGCCGGGGCTCTATTTACCAATGTCAGTCACTGGAAACCAAATCAGTTTTTGCATCTTAGAGCGTTTCAGGGAAAATATAGAATTTCTGTTACCTGAGCTGCGTTGAGCCCACGGCGTAAGCAGTGTCCCCGGTGCGGCTGGCGTTTCGCGTGTCGCGGGGGGAGGCGGCAGGAGCTGTGAGAGCCAGTTCCGTTTTCCAAACCCGGAGGGCAGACCTCGCACAGCAGACAGAAAAGTTAAAAACACGCATTAAACACAAGAAGCCTGCGGGGCCATCTCTCCGCTGCCCTGCAGCTCCATTCAGCCATGTTCGAGCCGTGTTGGCGGGTGATTACGGGGACAGGGCGCGGCCCGGTCTCATACGATGTAAACGTGACCGCTCACAGCGACGTCACCTTAGATGGTCCAGAGTTACGTGTGACACAGCTGAAGGGACGTGTTCTGCGCTGTTCACTTTCCCATCACTGGCTCCGATTCCCGGAAACTGAGCAGTTTAAGCCCCACTGATCCTCAGGGTCCCGGGGCTGGGTTCTGGCCTGGTCTTGAGTGCTGGTCTGGCCTTGGCTGTGGTCCGACCCTGGGCTCTGGTCCGACCCTGGGCTCTGGCCCGGCCCTGGCTCTGGTCCGGTGCTGGCTCTGGTCTGGTGCTGGCTCTGGTCCGTGCTCAGGGCACCCCGAGACTCAGGTGGAGGCGGGGGCCGGGCTGGCACCTGTGGGCTTTGGGGGAGGGTTCCTTCCGGCTCAGGCTGCTGGAAGGCGAATTCCTCCGGGTGGGACCGGGTGTCGGTGTGGACTGTTGGCCCAGGGTCCCTCCCTGCCCCCGAGGCCGCCCTCTGCCCTCCTGCGGCCGCTCCATCACCAGCGACGCCCGATCCAGCCCTTCCCACAGGACGCTCCGGCCACAGCCAGGGAGGGTGCCCTGCTGTTTTGTTTTCCCATTGATTTTTAGAGAAAGTGGAAGGGAGGGAGGGAGGAGAGAGAGAGAGAGAGAGAGAGAGAGAGAGCGATCGATTGGTTGCCTCCTGCATGTGCCCCACCAGGGGATTTCTAACCTTTGACCCCTTGGTGCACCAGCCAACGCTCTAACCACTGAGCTACACGGCCAAGGCTCCGTGCTACCTTCCAGGTCAGGAAGCCCCCCTGGGGGGTCACCCCGCTGCTCCCAGGGCCTGAGCGAAAGGGAGGAAAGCGGACCAGGATGGTGCCTCTCAGGCCTCCAGGCGGCAGGCGGGGCGAGCGCTTGGCTGCACAGGGTCCC